GAGACACGGGGCAGCAGCTGGAAGTGGATGTGGGGTCCACCATGGAAAAGACATGGCTTTTGATCCCCCATCTAACTGTGTTACGGAACCTTCTCAGTATCTATAAGGAAAAACATATAAGTACTCATTTTTCTTTATCTTTTTTTTGTGTGTGTGAACTATAACTTAAGTGTGGTAAAGTATATAAAGGGCACAGATCTTAAGTGTACCGGGCAATGAATTTTTACAGATTTATGCATCCATGTAACTGCTAATCAGAGAACATTTCCAGCACCCAGACATCTTGCTTGTGCTCTTTCCCTGTCAATTCCCCCGCTCCAGAAGCAACCACCCATCTAATGCCTTTCAAAAACAGGCACAGAGATTCTTTGTGTCTGTTTTTGAACTTCATGCGAATGAAATCTTACAGCATGTCTTCTGTGTGTCTGGCATCTTTAGCTCTTTATGTCTGGGAAAGTCTTTTATGTCATTCTATGTAGCAGGAGTTTGTTGTATAAGAAGCAACTTTATGGCCGGGCTTGGTGGCTCACATCTGTAATCCCAGCACTTTGGGAGGCAGAGGCAGGCAGAGCACGTGAGGCTAGGAGTTTGAGACCATCCTGGCCAACATAATGAAACCCCATCTCTACTAAAAATACAAAAAGTTAGCTGGGCGTGGTGGAGGTGCACACCTGTAATCCCAGCTACACTCGGGAGGCCGAGGCACGAGAATTGCTGGAAGCTGACAGGCAGAGGTTGCAGTGAGCCGAGATCACGCCACTGCACTCCAGCCTGGGTGACAGAGTGACAGATATTTTGCGGTTTGGTGAATAGTGAACTTTAAGGAAAATGGAGAATCTAAAATGCTTCTGAAAGTTCCAGTGGGATGTTTATAAGGTGGGAGGAATTATAGCATGTTTATGTGCAGATGGGAATGATAGAGGGAAAAGAGACAAGGAGACTTTGGAGCTGAGTTTTTTGAGGAGGTGTGGACAGGGTACAAGTGGAGAGGGGGTTGGACTTGACTTGAAGAAGGGCCAGCTCATCCTGGAAAAAGACAGGAAAGTTTTATCATTTGACACCCCCTCCAAATTATACAAAGCACTCTCCTGGCTTGTATATGTTAGCAGCTCTTCCACACAACATAAAAGCTTAAAGCCTGCCTTTGGACTGCCAGTCTGGCGTTGATGATGATGATACAGCTTCCTTTATGGACCGTAATAAATAACTGGGCTGGGCGTGGTGGCTCCTGCCTGTAATCCCAGCACTTTGGGAGGCCAAGGCGGGAAGATCGCTTGAGCCCAGGAGTGCGAGACCACCGTGGGCAACCTAATGAGACCCCCATCTCTACAAAAAAGAACTGAAAACATGTTAGTGATATTTATTTTTATTCTAAGCGGATGGGGCAAGGAGGAGGGGAGAGCAGCAGGCAGTTTGGGAAGGAAGAGGAGCCTAGTGGCCTGAGCAGCCAGGACAGGGAAGAGAAGGGGAGACCAGAAGACCAGACAGTCTTGCAGAGTTGAGCTTCCAGAGCCCCCCGGCTTGCAGAGGCTCGTGGGCATACTGACACAATGGAATACTACTGTGTAATGAAAAGGACGAGCAGCGTGGCTGAATCTCACCACCATCCTGCAGAGCCCAAGACACAGATACACACCAGGGCGTGCAGCAGGGTTCCTTCCAAAGTTCAAAGTCAAATGAAAGGAATCAAGATAGGTCAGGATGGTGGTTCCTGGGATGAAGGGGGCTGTTGGCTGGGAGGGAAATGAGAGCTTTAGGGGGCTAGACACTTCTAGCTTGATCTGAGTGATGGCTACTCAGGTGAATGTATTTAAAAAAACATATTGAGATTACATTTACAATTTCTGTACTTTACTGTATGTTAAAATGTATGTCAGTTAAAGAGAAAAAGAGGGCCAAGCATGGTGGCGCACACCTGTAGTCCCAGCTGCTTGGGAGGCTGAGGCGGGAGGATCACTTGAGTGCAGGAATTCAAGGCTGCAGTGAGCTACAGTTGTACCACTGTACTCCACCCTGGGTGACAGAGCAAGACTCTGTCTCTTAAAAAAAAAAAAAAAAAAGCAGCTGGACTCAGAGCTAGACTTTGACAGGAGGGCAGTGGGAAATAATGGGAAGGGTGTGGGTGTTAGAAAGGTCCTCAGGGGCAGTTGGGGGATTCATGAAGGGGAAAGGCCCGTGACTGGCTGTTTGACCCTAGGAAAGCCCCTGCCCCTCTCTGGACCTCCTTTCTCCCACCCAGTCCTCACAGGAGTGCAGGCAGAACAGAAATAGGAGAGGGAAGGAGCCAAAATCACCATGAGACTGAGCCTCTGGAGGACAGAGCCCTCTGATTCATGTTTGCAGCCCAGCTCCTGGCTCAGGGCCTTCAGGAAGTGTTGATTTGGTGAGGGGGGTGCAAAACCTGCCAAAAGTGGGGGCATCCAGGCCTGATCCCCACAGTGGAGAATGAGGACAGGTGGCCCAGGGCAGATCCAAGATAATTCAGAACACAGGATCTCATGTATGTTCTCCTGGGTTCTTAGTCAAAAACCCCTTCTCACTGGTTCTGACCTTGCCTCAGCTGAAACCAACATAGGATGACTTCAGGCCATCCCAGGCATTCAGAGGGTTCGTTTAATGACATTCACTGAGGCCCTGTCTACGCCAGGCCCTTGGTGTTGAAGACATCGTGAACAAAAATGAAAATAGAATGTGGTGATCTCCTGAGTGTCTGAATGGGCCAGGTGGCTAAGTGCTGGGGCTCTGGGGCCAGGCTGCCTGGGTCATAGCCTGGCTCCAAACTGCTTTGCTGTGGCTTTGGGCAGTTACCTCATCTGTAAAATGGGACCAACAGTGCCTACCTTGCCTCCTTTTGTGAGATCACTTATTAAAAGGGCTTAGCGTGGTGCTTGACCCATTATTATTATTATTATTACTATTATTATTATCACTTGAGACAGGGTCTCACTTTGTCACCCAGGCTGGAGTGCAGTGGCACGATCACAGCTCACTGCAGCCTTGACTTCCCAGCCTCCTCAAGTGATCCTCCCACCTTACCTTCCCAAGTAGCTGGGACCACAGGTGTGTGCCCCCACACTGGCTAATTTGTTGTTGTTTGAGATGGAGTCTTGCTCTGTTACCCAGACTGGAGTGCAGTAGCACGAGCTCGGCTCACAGCAAACACCGCCTCCTGGGTTCAAGTGAATCTCCTGCCTCAGACTCCCAAGTAGCTGGGATTACAGTCACGCACCACCACGCCCAGCTAATTTTTGTATTTTCAGTATAGACAGGGTTGCACCATTTTGGCCAGGCTGGTCTCCAACTCCTGGCCGCATGTAGATCTGCCCACCTCGGCCTCCCAAAGTGCTGGAATTATAGGCGTGAGCCACCACGCCTGGCCAGACCTAATGTTATTATTGTGATAGGGATAGGTTTATGAGGCTATAGGAGTGTCAGACCGGGCCTCCTGAGGAGGGGACATATTAGCTGAGGCCTAAAGGAGGCATAGGAAGGAGTTTGCCAGCTACAAGGGAGTGGAGGCAAGGAAAGAGAGGGCCCAGAAGAGTGAGTTTGGCAGGGGCTTTGGCAACACTGCCAGGAGGGCTTCTTGCAGGGGAAGGGTGTCAGCACTATCTGGAGGTCTCATCCAGTTCCTTTCCTGAGTCCCTGCCTTTACTCCCCAGGTGGGCTGGCCTCCAGAGGAAGGGCAGTTCGTGGCGGAGGCTCCAATTTAGCTCTCAGGGATGAAGGGGCGAGGCTGGCTGTGGACTTTAAGGGAAATCCAAAGATAGCTCAGCAGAAAAGGATGACTCGCGGCCTGATCTTCCCCTCAAGAGGAGGGAAGCAAGAATGAATCAGCCCCTTAAGCTGGAATGAAGTTGCGGCGGGAAGTCAGTCCTGGGTTTGTGGCCCAAGGCCACTCTGCCTCTGACTCACCTTGGCAGTGGGGCGGGATGGGTGTGAATCTGGGCTCTGCAGCCTGGATTCCTAGCTTCCGGCTGGGGGCCTGAGGGGAGGCCTGGCTCCTCTTGAAACCTCAGTTTCTGTATCTACGCAGTGGGGTAAGGAGGGTCAGGAGAATGGTTATGGTGACTTACAAACAGAGCAGGGCACACAGTAGGGCCTCTGGAAGTGCCAGCCCCCTCCTTTGCCCCCTTCCCTTTCACATCCTCTCTTCAGCGGATGTGAAATGGGTATGTGGGTGGTTTGGGGAAGTTTGGGGCTTCTGTTTGTCTCTTGATGGGTGAGTTGTCAGCTAGATTCTGGTAAGGCATGAATAGAGGGAGAAAAGCAACAAAAGATCAGAAAAAGGGCAGCCGCACATTGTGTGTGAAAATCAAAAACAATAATAATGATTCTTGGCTAGGGACAGTGGCTCATGCTTATAATCCCAGCATTTTGGGAGGCCGAGGTGGGCAGATTGCTTGAGCCCAGGAGTTCAAGACCAGCCTCTGCAACATAGTGAAACCCCATCTCTACTAAAAATACAAAAATTAGCCAGGCATGGTGGCAGGTGCCTGTAATCCCAGCTACTTAGGGGTAAGGCAGGAGAATCGCTTGAACTCAGGAGGCAGAGGTTGAAGTGAACCGAGATTGTGCCATTGCACTGGAGCCTGGGTGACAGAGCGAGACTCCATCTCAAAAAAAAAAAAGATTCTTTCTCACATATTTGGTTCCTACTAAATGCCTCTGGGCTACTCCATGTTTTAATCTTCACAGCAGTCCCATGGGGAGACAGTCCCATTTTACAGGTGAGGTAAACTGTTCAGAGGTGAAGCCACTTACCCCAGGTCACACAGCCAGTGGATGGCAGAATCAGGATTTGGAACCTGATCTGTCTGAGTTCAAAGCCATTGCTCTTTGCCTCAGATCTGGGCAGGGGTTTGCTGAGGACTGCCCAGCCTACAGACCTGAGAGGGCACTTAGAGGAGGCCTCTGAGACAGGTTCAAACAGGGCAGCAGTCTTCCACTGGATGGTCTGCCAGTGAGGAGTGTAGATGTGTTTAGAGAGAAATGGCAACTTCTGGCTTTAACATTTATTACAAAGATCAGAGCAGAGGCTGGTGAGTTACACTTCTTCCTCCCCACCAAGTGCTCTCTGCAGCTCTGGAAAAATGGTGTCCTCTTTGTTGTCCCGCCAGGGGGCGCCACCTCCTACCCGCCCCAGCCTCATACCTAGTTCTTCAGCTCGGCCAGCGGTAACTGAAGCCTCCCAGAATCCTGGATCCGGGCCCCTAGTACCCTCTTCCCCAGGGACCCAGGAGTCCGGCCTCCAGGCGCCTCCACTTGTGACTGAGCTGGAGGTCGTCCATAGCAGCATAGTGATTTTGATGAGGGTATGCAGAGTGGGGGTGACCATGTTCCCACCTGGGGCCTCAAGTGGGCCAAGGCCTCCCCACTTTAGCCAGCGTCCTCTCCAGCAGCCATCACAAGCCAACCCACTCCAAGGCGGGGCCCCCTTTGGTCCTTGCACTTGAGGTGCTTTGTTCGGGGCCGGGGCAGGAGTGGCAGAGACGACGTACATCACCTCAGTCCTGGGGAAAGTAGCCTGGTTCCTCCGTGGGTCCTGGAGAGACGGAGAGACTGATGGAGAGGCAGGTCAGGAAGAGGGAGAGGGAGAGTGAGAATGGGACACACCGAGGTGCAGACAGAACCTGCTGAGCAGAGGTGGGAGGCAGGGGGTAGGTGTTTCTGGGCCCCGAGGCCAGGGTGCAGGAGGGCATTTAGACAGACACATTGAATGGACAGAGCCAGAGAATGTGCCCGGGACAGGTAGAGAGAGAGAGAGAGAGAGACCAAGCAAAGAGGGAGAAGGGCATCAAGGGTCAGTGAAGGGGAGAGGGAACACCATCTTCCTTCACTGCCAATCCAGCCCTGAACTGAGTCCTTTCCTCCAGACAGTGCCAGAGCTGACGAGAAAAGGTGGCCGTGTCTCCCAGCCATCCCCTGCCCCCTTGGCCACAGAGGGTGCTGGCCACAGGAACCCTTCCTCCGGGATGCCTTCCTGCCCAAGTCCCAGCCCCCTCACCAGCTACGTGGACTGCTGGCTGGGTTCTGGAAGCTGCCTCGGCCCCAGGGCAGTGCTAAGCAGCTCAGTCAGGGTGTCCAGCTTCCCCGCCAGCGTGTCAATCTGCTTCTCTAGGGCCCGGTGTGAGCTGCTCAGATTCTGCTGCAGGTCATACAGGATCATGTGCATCTGGACGGGAGGAGAGGATCAGAGGTGTCAGGGGGGTGGGGTCGACCCCTGCCTGCTCCATAGTGTAAGGCAGTGGAACCAATATTGACTACATCCTTGTGGTCCTCTGAGGATTATCCTCAATAATAACTGTTACCATGTACCACTTCCCAGCTACCTGCCTAGGTGTTTCCCTGTATGGTTTAAAATCCTCCTAAAAGCCACTGGGAATGGGAATCCTGTTCCCATCTTATAGCTGAGGAAACAGGCATGGAACCGTTAAATGACATGCCCAAAGCAGCTCCTGAAGTAAGACCTAGAACATAGTAGGTGCTCATTAAATATTTATAGCATGGATAGTGCCTGACTTCCAAATCCACATAGTCTTTTACTACACTCTCTGGCTAGGATTCACAGCTTGCTTGATCCCTGAGGGTTTGTGGGTTTTCTGTGGAAATTCTTGAATTCTGTGTTTTTGGCTTGATAACCTTCAGAAATTACCGCCTGCCAATTCCTGCCGATCTGGGCCACCGCCTCCTCACTGAGACCTGCCATGCGGTTTTGGGGCCTGCATCTGTGACCGTGCTTACCATGGCATTGGTGCCAGGGGCCACTGTTTGAACTGCCATGGGCTAACGAGAAAAAGCAAAGGCCACCGGATAAGCAGAAGATGCTGTGAGCCAGGCCAAGGGGGTGTTGTGACATCACTGTCCCTGAGCACCGGCAAAATCAAGTGGTCTCAGCAGAAGGGGGCGGGTAGCTGAGTCACACCTTGGCCAGGCAAACTTGCATGGAAGTCCCTGTGGCCCTGAGCACCCCTCCACAAGAGCAGCAGAGATTGAGTTTTACGGAAACAATGTCACCTGTGTCCTTTCAGTGTTGTTCATTTTAATTGTATTGGTTTTGCCATCTATGGGCTTGGTTTGTAAATTTGCTTTGGTTTTATTGTATAAGTTGTAGTTGGAAGGAATTTTATATCCGTCCACATGTAAGTAACTTAACAATAAAAATAATTTGAAACCAAACACTGGGGTTCTTTGTGCAATTTTTTTTTTTTTTTTCAGTTTGTAAGGGATCTGTTCCTTGCATGAATGTAAGAAGCTGTGTTGCATCATTCATTCCTTCCTTCCTTCCTTCATTCAACCACAGACCTTTACTGACAGCCTGTGTGTGCCAGGCTCCTGCCAAATTTCCCTGTTGTAGAGCCAGATTTCCCTCCCCATGGCCCCAGCCTCCCCCTTCTTCGAGACATCCTCCCATGGGATCCTAGTACCTTGGAGATGTCCACCATGGAGTTCACTTGTTCCTGGAGCTTCCGGTGTTTTAGCCGCACCTGGCGGAACCTGTCGGAAGTGGGGAGTCAATTTTACAAGCCTGGTCCCTGAATGTGGCTGTAGCTCAGGGGTGGAATGAAGGGAGGAGAGGCACATGAAGCAACAAAACAAAGACAAAACGTCAAAGAGCTGAAAGAGTGGGAGGGGATGACTGCACCGCACATCCCCATGAGCCCCCATCCCCAGTAGAAACCCAGGTACCCAGGTCCACAGACACGCCAAGATATGCAAAGACAAACCAGCACAGACACACAGAGTCATGCATGGTCAGATCCAGGTGGACAAGCTGTTGAGTGAGACCACACCTGGGTGTCCTGACCTGGACGGGCATGGACACGCACACACACAAGCCGTGCAGAGAGGTGACTTGGACATGGGTGCACATGGACACATGTGCATACAAAGCGCCCTCACGCGTTGATGGCAGCCAGCAGCCTGCGCTGATGCCTGCGGGCAGCTCGAGACTCCTTCCTGCGAGTATGTTTGTAGAACATCCAGGCTTCTTGTAGCACTCGGGCAGCGGACTCCTTCATCTGGGGGTGGGTGGCACAGTGTCCATGGAGATAGACCCTTACAGTTCTGGGAAGGCAGGGCTCAGGCTGGGACTCGGGTCCTAGGGGAAGCGGGGGAGCTTGGACTCCTGCCTCTTGAAAGAGGGGTGTGCCATGGGGGCCATATGCCCATCCTCACCTCTTTGGTATACTGGATATCCATCATGAAATTGTGCACGTGCTTTTCTGCCTTGTTAAACTCCAGCTTCCGGGCCACCACGGCCACCAGCAGGGCTGTGCAGCAGACCCCCTGTGGGCACAACAGGTACTGTGGCATGAGGCTGTGCCACCGACTCCCTCCTTGAACCCTCCCAACAGCCACAGAAGGCAAGCACAATATCCCCAGTTGACAGACAAGCAAACAGGCTCAGAGAGGAGAGCCAAGGTCCCAGCTCAGAATGGGGGAGCTAGAATCATAAATCGCCTATGTACGAGCCCATATTTGATGTGTAGTATTCACACTCGCAGGATGGCCTCTTGCATTAGGGGTATGATTGGAGGAGCAAGAGGAAGGCTGGGTTCTGAGCCAGGGGCAGGCCTCTGGGTCCTCACTGCTGACATGGTCGGCCACTGCATTGTGGAGGGTGTCCCTCCTTCTCCCACCTCCACAGCCTCTTCCTAATCCAGCCCTGTCCTCTCTCTCCTGGACCATCTCCAGCCTCCCACTCATCCTCCCCTAACCCCCTTGGCCCCCTCTAATCTCCTAGGCTTCCACTGCCCTGAACTTCTCAGCCTGGCTACCAAGGCCTTCCAAGGTCTACGCCTCTCACTCAGACAACTCAGCCCTGGCTCCATTCTGCCTGCCCTCCCTGAGCACCTTCCTCCGAACACTCATTCTCCTCCCTTCCTTCTCCCAATGCTCCTGGCCCTTCATGGCCTTGCCGATTCCTGACTGCTTGTGGCACCTGCTCACCTGTCCCCTAGTTAGAATGAATCGTCCTAGGAAGCATCCCCCACCCTATAGTTTCAGCTCTTGATCACCCAGAACAACTTCCAGTCACAAATACTGGCTCCAGGGGACTGCCTGGGTTCCAATCCCAGCTCTGAGCCAATTATTTAATCTCTCAGTATTTCAATGTCTCATCTGTGAAATGGGCATGGCCTCAACAGGGTTACTCGGTGGATTTCATGAGTTACCCCTGGCAAGTGTTTAGGGCAGAGACTGGCACAGAGTATGTGCTCAGTAAAAGTAAGCTATTATGGGCCGGGCGTGGTGGCTCATGCCTGTAATCCCAGCACTTTGGGAGGCCCAGGTGGGTGGATCACGAGGTCAGGAGATTGAAAGCATCCTGGCTAACATGGTGAAACCCCGTCTCTACTAAAAACACAACAAATTAGCCGGGTGTGGTGGCGGGCGCCTGTAATCCCAGCTACTCAGGAGGCTGAGGCAGGAGAATAGCATGAACCCGGGAGGCCGAGCTGAGAGTGAGCCGAGATGGTGCTACTGCACTCCAGCCAGGGTGACAGAGCGAGACTCCGTCTCAAAAAAAAAGTAAGCTATTATGGCTCAACTGTGCCATGGAACCTTTCTGCCAGGAGCAGGCTGTGAGCTCAAGTGCTCATCGCCCTATCTCTCTAGGTTTCAGTTTCTCCTTTTGTCAAGTGAAGGAGGAGGTCCTGAACGGCACTGCAGTTCCCTAACTGAGTCTCTGCCCCTCTTCCCTTGCTCTAAAGACTCACCACTGGGGGAGTGAAGGTCACCACATCCTTCACCTGTGCACCCAGGGACTGGGGGGATGGATATGTCTTTCCTGGGTCCACATCTGGGCTAGGTGCTGGTGGCTTAGATCCCCGAGGGTGAAGGAAACCCAATCTTGTAGGGAGGTGAAGGCCAAGGCATTAGGTGCTGGTCTCTAGAGGGGGCCAGGGCTTGGTGGGAGGACCTGAGTGACTGGGTCTACGGAGGGAAGGAGGTGGATGTTGGGGTTCAGGAAAAGGCTGACTCAGGCTGCAGAGCCTCTGCCTCATCCTCGAGGGCACAGGAGCTGGTGGGGAGGTGGCTGGATGCCTGGGCGCCCCCAGACCTGCTTACCGAGCACCTCCTGTGGGCTGGGTACTGTTGGAAGCGCTTTCCATAGTTGAACCCATTTAATCATCTCAGCAAGCCCATGAGGAGCATGCTAGCATCAGCATCCCCATTTTATAGGGGAGGAAAGTGAGGCCCAGAGAGATCACGTGGCTCGCCTGAGCTCCCCAGCCAGGAAGTGGCAGCTGCAGGATTTGGACCCAGGTAGCCTGGCCCCACAGGCATGCACTTGATAACTGGACTCTACACCCTTGGTGGAGGCTGGGAGACAATTTCTGGGTTCTGAAAGAAAATGGGGCTGGGAAGTCAGGAGCCTGGGTCCCTGAGGAGGATAAGGGCTGGGCCCTAGGTTCTAGAGTGAGCAAGGCCTCAGGGACTGGATTCCTAGGTCTGATTTTTTATTTTTATTTTTTAAGAGACAGGGTCTCACTCCATCACCCAGGCTGGAATGCAATGGTACAACCATAGCTCACTGGAACGTCAAATTCAGGCTCAAGTGATCCTCCCACCTTGGTCTCCCAAAATATTGGGATTACCGGTGAGTATCTTGGTCTTGAAGAGAGAATGGGGCTGTGGGCGCCCCAGACACTCAAGTTTCTCAGGAGCTGTCCCTGAGAGCCTGTGTTGCCTCCATGGCTTCCTGGGGCCAGAGGATGACCAGTTTGGGATGAGGATCAGGTCCCCAAGGGGGCCGTACTCACCATGACTCCAGTGCACAGGCAGACGATCTTGCCCCACATGGTGCCCGGCACCACGTCACCATAGCCGATGGTCAGGAATGTGATGGGGATCAGCCAAAGTGTGTCTGAAAGGTGCCCGGTGGCATTCACAGCCTGCCTATGGGGAAGGGTGGGTTAGTTCTAAAACCCCACCATGGAGGTTTCCATGATATTCAGTCCCCTTCCCTCTATGCCCTCCCCTCCCCTCCCCTCAACTCCCCTCCCCTCCCCTCCCAGTATACACCTATAGTCCTAAGAATCAGCTGGACAAAAAGCCATTAAGTTCTGAGCTTTGGAAAGGCTGCATGGCCTCCTCTCTGCTGTGTGACCTGGGCGAGTTGCTTAGCCACTCTGGGATCTGAGACTGGATCTGGACAATCCCAATGCCGGTATGGTCTCAGCTAGGCTACCTGGGCTGCTGTGGCATTCAGAGCACGTGGTTGAGGGTGGAGAGTCAAGAGGGGGCCAAAACCCGGTCAGACCCTGACTGGTGGCTGCATCCACCCAGAGGAAGGGGTATATTTTTCTAATTTCCACAAAGATGCTGTGTGGTCCAGAAGGGGCCCTATCAGGATCAAAAAGGACTGTAAAAAGGCTTGGTGGGACTCTGCCTTCCTTTCACCTCACTTCACAGAAGGAGACTTTTTTTTTTTTTTTTGAGACGGAGTCTCGCTCTGTCGCCCAGGCGGGAGTGCAGTGGCCAGATCTCAGCTCACTGCAAGCTCCGCCTCCCGGGTTTACGACATTCTCCTGCCTCAGCCTCCCAAGTAGCTGGGACTACAGGCGCCCGCCACCACGCCCAGCTAGTTTTTTATATTTTTTAGTAGAGATGGGGTTTCACCGGGTTAGCCAGGATGGTCTCCATCTCCTGACCTCATGATCCACCCGTCTCAGCCTCCCAAAGTGCTGGGATTACAGGCTTGAGCCACCACGCCTGGCCAGAAGGAGACATTTAAGTCCAGCCATGGAAGGGATTGAAATATTGAGATTTGTCTAACTTTGTCCACAAGCCCCTTGCTGCAAGATAAGCAGGGAAAACTTCATTCGTGAGAGCCCCAGACACCCCAGACCCACCAGGTTAGAGTTTCTAGGAGCGAAGATGGAATCTGCACTGTTTACAAACCCCACCCCCCTCATTCCCAAGTACATTCTAGTTTCAGGACTTCTGCCTTGGAATTTGGAACTTTGACTTCCTCCCCATTCTCCCATCATTCAGATGAGAAACATGGTGGGGGGATCAATCATTAATCCTGATTCTGACCAATTTCCCAGTTGGGAAAACTAAGATCCTAGGAGGTGAAAGAGTTTAAAATCATGACAGAGGGCCGGGCACAGTGGCTCACGCCTGTAATCCCAGCACTTTCCGAGGCTGAGGCAGGCAGATCATGAGGTCAGGAGATCCAGACCATCCTGGCTAACACAGTGAAATCCTGTCTCTACTAAAAATACAAAAAATTAGCCGGGCATGGTGGCGGGTGCCTGTAGTCCCAGCTACTGGGGAGGCTGAGGCAGGAGAATGGCATGAACCCGGGAGGCAGAGCTTGCAGTGAGCCAAGATTGCACCACTGCACTCCAGCCTGGGCGACAGAGCAAGACTCCGTCTCAAAAAGAAAAAAAAAAAAAAAATCATGACAGAGTCCGGGCACGGTAATCCCAGCACTTTGGGAGGCCGAGGCAGGAGGATTACTTGAAATCAGGAGTTCAAAACCAGCCTGGGCAACATGGTGACATGGTCTCTACTAAAAATACAAAAATTAGTCAGGTATGGTGGTGCACACCCATAATCCCAGCCACTTGGGAAACTGAGGCTCGATAATCGCTTGAAGCAGGGAGGCAGAGGTTGCAGGAAGCAGAGTTCGTGCCACTGCACTCTAGCCTGGATAACTGAGACTCCATCTCAAAAAAAAGAACTGTCAGGGAGACTACAGATGGTGGAATGTGACACTCACTTTTCAGATGAGGAAACTGAGGCTCAGAGAGGAGAGATCTAAAGCCAGATCTTCTCATTCTCCTCCTGCCCTGAAGGATCTTTGCCACATACACTAGACCAGAGGTTCTCAACCTTGGTTGGGCCATATAATCACCTGGAGGGCTTGCTAAAGCGGATTGCTGGCCCTACCCTTCAGGATTCAGTAGGTCTAGAAGGGACCTGAGAGTTTTCATTTGCAAGTTCCCAGGTGATGCTGCTGGTCCTGAAACCACACTCTGAAAACCACTGGCTGAGATCACTCCCAACCTCTTTCTCTGTAAGGGATAGAAATTGAGGTGCGGCTTCGGGTTACACAGTATCCAGGCGGCAACCAGGATCTAGTTCCAATTCCCTGCATGGAATTATTTTCCAGAGAAGCTCCAAATCATCCCCTTCCTATGGTCACAGAAAGCACCCACCTACAGTGCATTCTGTGCTAATTTGGAAAATATGTCCCCTTCCTCCAAGGCAGACGCAACCCTTTAGGCAGGTCCCAGAGACAGGTTTGGAGACCGAACAGATGGCCTGGAAACCTGAGGCAGTAGAAGTCCAGGAGCCAGAAGGGAAGGGCTTTTTAGGGTCTGTGTGTGCATTTGGGGAGACTGAAGGCTGCACATGGAGGATTGGCTGGAGGCTTGTCTGTTGGTTCCTCTCACCCCAGTTGATGCGAGTGTGGGCAAACTGCAGCCAGCAAGAGGAGAAGGGGTCAAAGTGTGAACTTTGACCTCTGCTTGGTCCTAGGGGGCCTCAACCTGCACCGCGGCACAAGACGGCCACCACGGCTGTCCGGGGTTCCCTCCCCTGCGCATTTATGCCTCCAGCACCCTCACCTCTCGGCCACGGACAGCACCCAGGCGGTGGTCAGCCAGAGGCCAAGCGTGAGGCCGAGCAGCAGGCGGCCGGGGTGCGTGTTCATGTAAAGCTTGGCCACGAACCAGTGGCGGAAGCGGACTTGGTTGAGAGCGCCGATGCTGCGGTAGGAAGCGTTGAGCAGGACGCCGCTGCGCAGGAGCACGGCGCGGGGCACCAAGTAGAGACGCAGCAGCATGGCCAGGGACAGCAGCGCTTCCCCTTGGCCCAGGAATCCCGGCCAGGGCTGCGGGGAGGTCAGCGGCGCCCCTAAATCCTGCGCGCACAGCGGGCCCCGCATGGGCGCCGGGTGCAGCCCGCACACCACCAGCTCCAGCACGATCTGCGCCGCCTGCCGCCCGGTCAGCGCCACGCGCCAGTCCCGCAGCCCGTTGTCGGTCATGAACAGCTGCGGGGAACGGGCCAAGAAGGGAGGGGTCAGGCGCAGGTCAGGCGGCGGCCCGCGCCTGCCTGCGCCCTGAGATAAGTGGGGTGTGCCCGCCTGGCCGGGAGGGAGGGAGATAGAGCAGGGCGGGAGAGGGATAGGGAGGGAGCGGGACAGGACTTGTGGAAGACATCTCTCCACTTTCTCCTCCTTCCCCACCGTCCACCCCACTAGTTTCAGCCCACTTCCAGCCTTTGAACACTGACTGAGTGCCGACTGTGTGCCTGGCATTGTTCTATGTGCTAAGGATACACAGTGAACCAAACAGACCCCCCTGCCTCCCTAGAGCTTGCATTCCACGTGTCTGGAGCTCGCTCCTACTTCTGTTTCGGTTGACACGCGTAATAACTGTAATAATAATATCAGCAATAACAAAGCCTTACGCCTGTAATCCCAGCACTTTGGGAGGCTGAGGTGGGTGGAACACTTGAGGTCAGGAGTTCGAGATAAGCCTGGCCAACATGATGAAACCCCATCTCTACTGAAAAATACAAAAATAAGCCGAGCATGGTGGCGCACACCTATAGTCCCAGCTTCTGAGGAGTGTGAGGTGGGAGAATCACTTGAACCCGGGAGGCAGAGGTTGCAGTGAGCCGAGATCATGCCACTGCTGCACTCCAGCCTGGGTGACAGAGTGAGATTCCATTTCAAAATAAACAAAAACAAAACAAAACAATAACAATAGCAAAATCAGCATGTACTGGGCACTGTGGATACGCCAGACACTGCTCTATCCCATTTACATGTTGTGACTTAGTAAATGTCCACAGCCCAGTGAGATTGATATTATTTATTATTGCCACCATTTTATAGATATGGAAACTGAGGTCCAGGTCCCTCCCATGGGCAATGGTGCACTGAGCTACAGACCATTTGACTACTCTATGATAAGATGATAATGTGCACTGTTTACTGGGCACTTCTTATGTGCCAGGCACTGCTCAGAGAATTGCCACACATGACCGATAATCCCCATTTTACATGCAAAGTTATGATAGGAGACGCGGAAGAGGGGAAAGGGAATGGAGCAACAGCATCTGGGGCAATGGGGCAGTGGGGGATGGGATGTGTTTGGGTGAGACTCAAGGTGGAGTATGGATGGGGAGAATTCCTGGGTCTGGGGCAAGAGGAAGGTTATTGGCACAGAGATAGGGTGATTAGGAGTGGGCACCCCTAGGACTGGGCCAGGTGCAGTGGCTCAAGCCCGTAATCCTAGCACTTTGGGAGGACAAGATAGGCAGATTGCTAGAGCTCATTTGTTGGAAGCCAGCCTGGGCAACACAGTGAAACCCCGTTTCTACTAAAATACAAAAAAATTAGCCGGGCCTGGTGGCATCTGCCTTTAGTCGCAGCTACTTGGGAGGCTGAGGCATGAGAATTGCTTGAACCCAGGAGGTGGAGGTTGCAGTGAGCAGAGATCGTGCCACTCCACTCCAGCCTGGGCAACAGGCCAAAAAACAAAAGGAAAGGAGTGGGCACCTCTGGGATCTTAGGTTGCATGGGGACTGGATTGGGGATGCGATGTTGGAGTACAGAGATCTGGAAGGCTGAGGTTGCCTGGGAGCAGAGTGGACAGAGGCCTGGGGGCAGAAGCAGGGCTGCAGGTTCGCTCTCAGCATCTGTGAGTGTGCAAGAGGGGACCAGGGGCTACAGGGGAAGAGCGGGGCTGGTTGGGGAGGCTCTGCCTGTCTGCTCATGGTTCATCCCATCTGGGTGGGTGAGGGTGTGGACACAGCATCTGGGGCAGAGGAACTTCATTACTCAGATCAGGAGGAGGAGGAGGATGGAAAGTATGAGCTGACAGGGCACTGAGGGGAGCAAGGCTTAGGGGCGGGGCCTGCCCTACCTGGACCTCTTTGGCGTGAAAGGCCACGATGAGGCAGAGGAGTAAGAAGGTGGAAATGCTGATCATGCATTTAACCAGGAACAGGTAGAGCGCCCACTGTCAGGAGGGACAGAAAAAGGAGTGTGAGATCTCAGGTCTCCCTCCACCTGGCCCTCCACCTTTCCTTCAAAACCACCATTTTTTTTTTTTCGATTCCCAATTTTCCTAGCCTCCTTCCCCCACAGACCAGTCCCTCTTGATGTATCGGTTCTGGGGAAGTCTCAAAACCATCATCTGGGCCCAGTGCGGTGGCTCACACCTATAATCCCAACACTTTGGGAGGCCGAGGCAGGCAGATCACCTGAGGTCGGCAGTTTGAGACCCCCTGGCCAACATGGTGAAACCCAGTCTCTACTAAAAATACAAAAATTAGCTAGGTGTGTAATCCCAGCTACTTGGGAGGCTGAGGAACCAGAATCTCTTGAACCCAGGAGGTGGAAGTTGCAGTGAGCTGAGAGTTCGCGCCACTGCACTCCAGCCTGGGCAACAGAGTGAGTCTCCGTCTTGAAACAAGCAAGCAAGCAAACAAACAAACAAAAAAACACCATCATCTGGTCCCCAGGAATGCTCTATTTCTCCCCAACAGCTCAACCCTGTTCAGATGCTGGTGTCTACCCTCTTCCTCAGCTCTTCTCCCAAGACCCATATCCATGAAGGGGGGCCTTGAAACTCACATTCCTTCTTATTCCAGTCCTGTTTCCCATCAAAAATAGTTCTGCAGGGGTGTGTGTGTGTGTGTGTGTGTGTGTGTGTGTGTGTGGTGTCTAGAAAAAGACATCTAGCTTCTGGAGAGTGCCCCCTCCCCTTCCCTTCCCACCCAGCTGGTGTTGCCCTAGAAACCAACTTCAACCATCCCCAACCCCAAATCTGGAAGAATGTAGAAACTACCATTCAGTCCTCAAAGACTGAATCACACCCTTTCCTGCTCTCATCCAGAGGGCTGAGTCCCTGAGACCCCAGCCTCAGCTCTGAGCCAGCCCCCTCAGTTCTGCCTCCCTGCAGCTCCCCACCCCCCGCCCCGCCCCTCTCTTCTGGCTCTAAGCCCAGGGCAGATCTGGCCGGAAGCACAGGGCCTCCAGAAACCACGGAGCAGTTGTTGCTTTTTTTTTTTTTTTTTTTTTTCCCTCTCTTTGTGTGGCACAACCTTGGAGCAATCTAGAATTCTGGAGAGAGGGATTTAGAGGGGACTGGGACTGTTGGATTTCCTAAGAGGGGTTGGTCCCTGCCTGGCGGGTATTTGCAGGGGGAGGGGTCCATGTGGGCATCCTTACAAACCATTGCACCTGTTTCTCCTAAGAGGGCTGCCAGCTCCCCTGGCTGGGCCAGCACCACGCCTCTGAGCAGGGGAAGAGAGCCAGTTTCCTGCCCCAGGGGCTGCTCCCCAACCCCCTACCAGAACAATAGTGCTGTTGTCACCAGCCCTCCCCCACCTTCTATGGCTCCCTGGTTCCCTGCCTCCTTCTTCAGTCTGTCTCAACCCCCCACACCACTAGACAACAAGCCCCCTCCTCACACTGCAATTCACTTCTCTGGTGGTCTTCTCTACTTTTCCAGTTCCTCTTCCCCCATATCCCGGACCTGTCTGCACTTGGGCCTGTACTCTGCTCTCTGAATTTCTCTGACTCTAGGGATGGTTGTTTCTGTCCCTCTATGTGTTTTGAGGGTCTCTGTTTCTATTGTCTTTTCTAACACCATGTGTGTATCTCTTACTGGTGGATTTCTCAGTAGCTTGATAGCCTTATTTGTCTTTCTGTTTAGCTGCACCTCTATCTTACTGCATCTTTGTCTCCATCTCTCTATCTCTTTCTCTCCGTGTATCTCTGTGTCTCTGTCTCTCTCTGTACCTCTCGCCATCCCTCCTCCTCCACCCCACCTGGTGCTTTTGGATATCTCTATCTGGTTCCCTTGGACTTCCTAGGGTTTGGCACCTGCCTCTCTGCCAGCCCCTCCCCTTGGGGAGCAGGTGTCTGGGTCCTTTGCAGAAATGAGCTCATTAGATTGAGATGGAGGTGGTGAGGGGCCATGGGTGTTATTAAGAGAGACCTCAAAAGGGGACTGAGGAGCTGTGGCTCAGGCCTGTAATCCCAGCACTTTGAGGGAGGAGGATTGCTTGAGTCCAGGAGTTCAAGACCAGCCTGGGCAAACAAAGCAAGATCCCATCTCTACAAAAAATAAATTTAAAAGGGTGAAGGGTGACCCTTAGGGTCATGTATTTTAACCCTTACCCTAATTTTCAGATGGGGAAATTGAGGTTCAGAGGGTTGGAACAGCTTCCCCAAGGTCCTACTGATAGAGGCAGTGACCTGGCCATGGTGGAGGGAAGGAAGAAATGAGGGGTGAGAAAGCAGAGGGGGGAAGTGGGGTAGGATGGACCCCAACTCTTCCCATCTGCCAGGGTCACTGTGTTCCCACCTTGGCTGCTGGGTGCGGTGCTCCAGCGGCGGCCAGGCCCCGGCCATGCTTCCTGTTGGCATGGACTTCGGCGGCCCCACCCCCTCAGTGCCCGCCGCCGGCCACAGGAAGCTGCCTGTCTGACCCTCCATGTGACTCCTGGTCACTTCAGAGCTGCCCACCACCCCCTCCAGATCCGAGTCGGACATCAGACCCTCAGGAATCTACCCAAACTTCAAATCAGTGTCTGCTCCTGGCTCTACCAGCCCAGTTCCACAACCCTTCCGCCAGAGAGGTCTCCAGCCCCTCCTTTCCTGTTGAGTAAGTCTGTTCTCCCCTCAAGCCACTTATTCCAACCCTTGTCCTTCATCTGCCCCATCACTGGCCTGACCAGGGCTGGAATGTGACGGCAGCCTGCTGAGACCTGTCCTGACCCCGCTTTCCCCTTTCTTCCCTACTCACCACGATCTTCAGAGTCAGCCCCTCTTCCCCAAAGACATTCAAAACCCCCTTCTCCTTAAGACTCAGGAATCCAGGACCCAGCCCCCTCCTTCCCTGGTACCTAGGGGTCCAGGCCCCTGTGAGCCTACCTCTCCTCTATTTCCCTGACTAATTAGCATATGCAGATTTGGGGAGAAATCGAGCTTGTTAACAACGGAGACTGGGTTGGGGGTGGGATGGGGGAGGCAGGTCAGGGGAGAGGTTCCTTTCCCATTTCCCATCCCCACCCCCAGGCAGTTTTTTCTGTCCTTCGCATCTAAGGCACTGGGTAAACATTAGAGGTTAGATAAGGACCAAAGAGCTGCCGCCTACTGGAAGAACTTTGTCTTTCCTCCACCCTCCCTTCACCAAACCTGGGGCTACCTCTCCCCTTACTGGCTCTTGGGGGACTTGAGTGTCTGATCAGCCACCCTCTGGCCTCCAGGGGTCCTGGACCTCCGGCCGTCTAATGGCAACATCTTCAAAGACTGAAACACTGAAACAAATATTCCCTTCCTTGTGCAGAGGTCCCCAACAACTAACTCTCCCCTGGGAGCACCCAGGAGTCCCAGCCAAAGCCCATCCTCTCTCAGACCCAAGAGTCTAGGCCCCCAACCCCTCCTCCCTCAGATCCAGGAATCCTGACCATCAGTCCCTCCTCCCTCAGACCCAGGAGTCCTGACCCCAGTCCCTCCTCCCTCAGACCCGGGAGTCCTGACCCCAGCCCCTCCTCCCTCAGACCCGGGAGTCCTGACCCCAGCCCCTCCTCCCTCAGACCCGGGAGGCCCCTCCTCCCTCAGACCCGGGAGTCCTGACCCCAGTCCCTCCTCCCTCAGACCCGGGAGTCCTGACCCCAGCCCCTCCTCCCTCAGACCCGGGAGTCCTGACCCCAGCCCCTCCTCCCTCAGACCCGGGAGTCCTGACCCCAGTCCTTCCTCCCTCAGACCCGGGAGTCCTGACCCCAGTCCCTCCTCCCTCAGACCCGGGAGTCCTGACTCCCAGTCCCTCCTCCCTCAGATCCGGGAGTCCTGACCCCCAGTCCCTCCTCCCTCAGACCCACGAATCCTGACCCTCAACCCCTCCTTCCTCAGATCCAGGAGTCCAGACCCCCAGTCCCTCCTCCCTCAGACCCAGGAGTCTTGACCCTCAGCCCGTCCTTCCTCAGACCCAGGAGTCCAAGCCCCCAGTCCCTCCTCCCTCAGATCTAGGAGTTCTGACCCCCAGTCCCTCCTCCCTCAGACCTGGGAGTCCTGACCCCCAGTCCCTCCTCCCTCAGACCCAGGAGTCCTGACCCTCAGCCCCTCCTCCCTCAGACCCACGAGTCTAAGCCCCAGCCCCTCCTCCCTCAGACCCACGAGTCTAAGCCCCAGCCCCTCCTCCCTCAGACCCAGGAGTCTTGACCCTCAGCCCATCCTTCCTCAGACCCAGGAGTCCAAGCCCCCAGTCCCTCCTCCCTCAGACCCAGGAGTCCTGACTCTCAGCCCCTCCTCCCTCAGACCCAGGAGTCCTGACCCCCAGCCCCTCCACCCTTAGACCTAGGAGTCCCAGCTCCCAGCCACCATGCCCCACTCACCGAGCACCCCCCGAACCACAGCATCTCTGCATGCAGCACCATGAGCCCGATGCCAGTTCCCGCCAGCACCAGCGTCCAGCCGGCCAGAGACTTCTCCTGCTCCAACAAGCGCTTTCGGAGTCTCAGGGCCCCCAGGCCAAGCACCAGATCCCCGCCCATGGCCCCCGGGGTCTTGGGGCTCAGCCAGCTTCCTGCCCAGGGTCCCCCACCTCGCAGCACACACAGGGCAGCCACTGTGGCTTGCAGGTCGTCAGCCTGCTCTGCTGGCTCTGGGACTTTTGCTCTGAGGCACAGCAGAGCCCTGTGCCCTCTGGGGAGTGGTGGCGGCCAGGGAGGGCGGGGAGGGGCAGGGGAGGCCCCAGGGTAGGGGGAGGCTCCCCAGCTCCCCCTTTTGAGAATAAGGAGGGGCTAGGGTGTGTCTTGGGGCAGAGCAAGAAAGAGACGTCCATCCACGTGGGTAAAGACACACACCGACACACGATGGGCTTTGTCACACACAATGGTCTGTACCTTGTGACACACACCTCCACTCACCACACCCAGACACCGAAGGACACTCCACGGCCCAAGACAGAGACTAACACACCAGGGCACACAACACAACCTACACAGAGTGACTCACAACTCCCAGCAAGCTCCGAAACCCACAGCCACACCCAGACACCACACACATGGTGTGACACACACCAGCACTTAGCAAGCAGGCAGCGTCCCGTGGCACACACAGCCACACAAACATCGTCCACACACAGGCACAAATATTACACTCAAAGTTGTCACAACTTTCTCTGACACAAAGAGCCTCACCCAAACACCACAAATAGGATGATGCACATCTGTGGCCACACAAACACAACATACATCAGGTGTTACACAAACACATAATATATAGTAAAATACTGACACCCCGACGCCACACACCACACATCTACAGAAACACGGTGCGGTCCCAGTCTCCTAAACACTACACACCCTTGGAATGAAACCCGATATGTGCAGACACACAACATTTAGGGACATACCTAGAGCAGCCCCCGATCACCCAGCACCTAGAGAAATGCACATACATTGTGGCACCTGTTGACTCGAACACAAGTGCTCACGGTTATGATTCAAAACACACACTGATCCAGCGTGCTCCGGTGTGTGATGCGATTCCAATGTATGGTCAGAGGACACGCTGAGGGGATGCGTGCGGAGACCTACAAGGTACAGAGACACACGGAGAAACCCAAGCAGCACATGCCTGAAGCAAGATGATTCTGGTATATTCTGGTCACACAGGACACGACCCAGGATGGTGCCCCGGGGGAGGGGGATGGGGTTGGACCTTCATAGACCCCAGTGCCCAAATGCAACATACGGCTGGGTGCAGTGGCTCATGTCTGTAATCCTAGCAGTTTGGGAGGCTGAGGTGGGAGGATCGCTGGAGCCCAGGCGTTTGAGACCAGCCTGGGCCACATAGCAAGATCCTGTCTCTAAAACAAACAAAAACAAGAAAATAAACGCAACATACACCATCATCTTTGACCCATGAGCCACACCCAAACATCACCGACAATACCGCCACACAACCCAGCACATGTTATATTCCAACATGCGTGGCCACACAGACAACACGCACGGAGTAATACACCAGCACACAGCAACACAAAACACATAGACACAATGTTTCCAGCACACCCAACCTTCCACAAACGACCACGTGTCCCATAAAACACCAGATGTCACCACTCACTGATACCACTGACACTGAGGCCTACCACCACCCACACAACGCCAGCATCCGGGGAGCGGGACATATCCTCCGACATAACACACAGCTACACAAACACAAGACACTTGGGGTGGTTGGCACTCAGGCTGGGTGCTGGGGGCTGGGAAGGAAGAGGCCCCGGACAGGGACATGGACCCTGACGTGAGACACAATGTCACGTCCTTGAGTGATACACAATGTTACATACAGGAGACCCACCAAGAGAAAACACACACACTGCCACACACAGCAGCAAATGGAAGTGTGGAATGCGCACAGTGACTCTCAGAGTGACACACGACAAAGGACATCACCATGCGTCGTGGTATGAGCCACTCATGGGCCTGTATACCACACGCTCTGACACAGACCCAACCCTCCTGTGGAGACACACAGCCATGCACTGACCTGGTGACGCACATCGCCTCCCAGCGTCGTGCACTGACCTGGTGACACTGCCCTTGGCCTCATGCATACCCATCTGGGAGGAACCCGCGGACACAACCCTCCCCCTCCTTGTGTCCTAGGTCATGTGGGACCCTGGACCCACCAGCCCCAGGGAAGCGCGACACGCACAGACATGCCTGGTTGCACACCGAGGCAGCCCACACAAACACACCCAGAGACACCAAACCATACACACGGACACGCCCAATGACAAAAACACAACCCTTGCGGGGGCTCCGCCCCTCAGCACACACGATTACCCACTCGGCGAGACTTGGCGGGAGAGGGCTGGAGACACACCCGGGCGCGCCCAGACACCACACATGCGTCCACTTGGAGAAAGTGCAGCCGCCAGGCACTTCCGAGCCTGCAGCCTGGGTACCCCTGCCCACTGGCCGCCAGGCTCTCCACGTCTCCCTCCTCCCTCTCTGGCTCTTTCTCTAGTTCTTTGGGCCTTGCTTCCTGTCTCAGTCTCTCCTGGTCTGGAAGCCTCTGCTTTTGTCTTTTTTTTTTTTTTTTTTTGTGAGATAGAATCTTGCTGTTTCCCATGGCTGGAGTGCAGTGGCGGGATCTCGGCTCACTGCAACCTCCACCTCCCACATTCAAGCGATTCTCCTACCTCAGCCTCCCGAGTAGCTGATATTACAGGCATGCACCACCACACCCAGCTAATTTTTGTAATTTTGTAGTAGAGACGAGGTTTCACCATGTTGGCCTGGCTGGTCTTGAACTCCTGACCTCAGGTGATCCACCTGCGTCAGCCTCCCAAAGTGTTGGGATTACAGGCGTGAGCCACCGCTCCCGGCCAGGTTTGTCTTTATCTCTGTCTCTGTCTGTCTGTCTCTGTTTTTCTCTCCCAGTACCTTTGTCTCTCTCTGTCTCTCTCCGCTCTGTCTCTCTGTCTCTGCCTCTCTTAGCCTCTCTGTGTCTCTCTCACCTCTCTGTCCCTTTCTCCATCTTCCTGTCCCTCTCTGCTCCTCTGTTTCCTTCTCTCTCTGTCACTGTCTCTGTCATTATGTCTGTCTCTGTGTTTGTCATTGCCTGTGTCTCTGTCATCCCGTCTCACTCTGTCTCCATCTCTCTGTCTCTAGGACCCTCTGTTTTTGTCTGTCTCTTGCTGAATCGATGTTTCTCTCTGTCTCTGTTTCACTCTCTCCCTGCCTCCTGGTCTCCTTCTGGGTCTCTCTCTTCGGGCCTCTCTATGCTTGTCTCTGCCTCAGTTTCTCTTTGTTGTTCATTGGCACAGCTATGGACAACCTCGTTCCTTCCAGTTCTACCCCAGCCCCACTCAGAGGCTGAGGGCCAGTGACCCAGAGACTGCAGCCACCCGAGGGTCAGAAGCCACTAAATAGAGAGCGCTCCAGCTGCGGCCATGCCATGGCATCTGTGCCCCAGTTCAGGCACTTGTGAAAAATGGAGACAGAGACTGACACAGAGGGAGAGAGAGAATCAGAGACACCTCGAGTCGTTCAGCCCAGGGAAGGAGGGGGGCATGTGTTAAAAAAAATCAAACAGACCCACAGGTGCAGAGAAACCGGAAAATAGAATCAAGACACGGAAGTTAGAGCACAGAAATTTTGTCTCCAAAGAGACTATGACTGAAAGAGAAAAACAGCAAAGGCTGGGCATGGGCATGCCTGGGTGGCAGTGATGGGGTTACAGTGGGAAGGGCACCTGCCTTCAAACTGCAGTCCTGGGATGCAGGGGTCAGTCCTAGGAAACTGCTTTGCTCCACAGCCAGCTGCTTCCAGCCCAGGGAGGGGTTAAGTGGGGAGGGAGAGGTGACTCAGGGCCCCAGGGCTTCTTGTGACTCACCGTTGGTCTCAATCCTAGAGTGGGGAGTGGAGGCAGAGAGGGGTTTGTGTAAAAGAGAGGGAGAGGGAATAGTAGGGGACCTCAAAATGCCTAAGAAGAGGGGTCCAGGAGGAAGAAGCTGGGGGCCTGGACTCCTGGGTCTGAGGGAGGAGGGGCTGGGGTCTGGACTGCTGGTCTGAGGGAGGAGGAGCTGGATCTGGACTCCTGGGTCTGAGGGAGGAGGGGCTGTGGTCTGGACTGCTGGTCTGAGGGAGGAGGAGCTGGATCTGGACTCCTGGGTCTGAGGGAGAAGGGGCTGAGGCCTGGACTCCTGGGTCTGAAGGAAGAGGATATAGGGTCTGGATTCCTGAGTCTGAGGGAGGAGTGCTGGGACATGGACCGCTGGTCTGAGGGAGGAGGGGCTGGGGTCTGGACTCCTGGGTCTGAAGGAGGAGGGGCTGGGATCTGGACCCCTGGGTCTGTGGGAGGAGGGGCTGGGGTCTGGACCCCTGGGTCTGAGGGAGGAGGGGCTGGGTCTCATGTACTGGAAGTACTGATTCCAGAGTCTCCAGGATTTTTCCTTGGCCTTGTCCCAGTTGCACCACCTCTGTCGCGCCCCATCTCCGGGCCTGGAAAGAACCCAGGTGCCTCGGGGCCCAGCAGGAAGGGCCCAGGGACAAAGAGTTGTTTAACTGGGCAGGCTGGTGAAGGAGAGTGAAGCGGGTGTCTCAGGCGGAAAGGTCATTCATCGCCCAGGGCTTGTGCAGGGAAAGGCAGGGCTGAGCCCTGGCGAAGAGATCCTGAGAGTCAGAGGTCAGTGGCGGCAAATCCTCCACCGTCATCTCTGGGACCTTGGAGCCTGGAAGCTCCAGGGCTTATAAATACTGTCACCTGGTGTTCACTTAGGGAACTGCAAGCACTCTCCCTGTCCTTGCCAGCTACTGAGCGCCAGGCACTGCTCAAGGAGTTGGCGATATGTAATGAACAAAAACAGACAAAATTCTTGCTCTTGTAGAGCTTCCAGGCTAAAGGAGGGAGACGTCGTGGTTCCATCAACCTCAATCTCTTCTTCGCTCTCAGTCTTCGTTTTTCTTTCTGTATCTCATTGTCTTTCTTCTTTCTTTCTTTTTCTTTCTCTCCCTTCCTTCCTTCCTTCCTTCCTTCCTTCCTTCCTTTCTTTCTTTCTCTTTCTTTCTTTCCTTCCTTCCTTCCTTTCTTCCTTCCTTTCCTCTTTTTCTTTCTTTCTTCTTTCTCTTTCTCTTCTTTCTTTCTCTTTTTCTTCTCTTTATTTCTTTCTTCTTTCTTTTTCTTTCTTTTCTTTCTTTCTTTTTAATTAAAAAACCTTTTTTTTCTTTTGTCATAAAAACAGGTCTCACTATGTTGCCAGGCTGGTCTCGAACTCCTGGTCTCAAGCCATCCTTCTGCCTCGTCCTCCTAAGGTGCTGGAGTTACAAGTGGGAGCCACCACGCCTTGTCTTGCTTCTCTGTTTCTATCTCCTGGTCTTAGTCTCCTTTCTCCCTTTTTCTTCCTTTCTGCTTTTATTTTCTTCTTTGTATCTCTGTGTTCCTCACCAGTTAAAAAAAGTATGTATGTTATGTTATTACACAGAGACATACACCCGAATACTATATATAGTGTATGCAGATATGTAGTATAGTATATGGCATAGTATACAGATGTGTAGTGTATACAGATGTATATTATATACAGATATCTATATCTCACAATATGGGAGTCTAGAGACCTTGGTTTAAGCCTCGATGTGACCATTGCCTTTATTTATTTATTTATTTGAGACAGAGTCTCGCTCTGTCACCCAGGCTAGAGTGCAGTGGCATGATCTTGGCTCACTGCAACCTCCACCTCCTGGATTCAAGTGATTCTCCTGCTTCAGCCTCCCAAGTAGCTGGTACTACAGACGTGCACCACCACACCAGGCTAATTTTTGTATTTTTAGTAGAGACAGGGTTTCACCATGCTAGCCAGGCTGATCTTGAACTCCTGTCCTCAGATGATCCACCTGCCTCAGCCTCCCAAAGTGCTGGGATTACAGGGGTGAGCCACCATGCCCGGCCTAACTTTATTTTTGTATGGAATATATCATATGTACAGCCTGGTTTAGAGACAAACCTGAGTTCAAGCCTAGTTGCCATCCATAGTTGCGTGCTCTGTGAAACTTGTAAAAGAGGGATTATGTTTCCTATGTGACAGGGCTGCTTGAGGCTTAGGTGAGAGAGGATGTCTGGAGCCCTAATACTGGGCCTGGTCTATGTTAAACTCTTGTGATACATTGTCTCCCAAGTTGCCTGCCAGTGACTTCTCCCTTCCCTGCACTGACAGGTGGCTCCTCCCATGAAGAGACACAGTATGTTCCTTCTCCTTCAGTCTATCTGGCTCATGACTTGCTTTGACTAATAGAATGTGACAAATGGGACACTGG